TCAGCGCCTCTGCTTGGCTGCCGCGAGGCCTTCGGACCCACGGAGGCCGACGCGGCTGGGACGCGCGCCCGCTGGTGCTGCGGCCTTCCGCCCGGGCCCGCCAGTGCGCTCGGAGGCCGCCAGCGCAGGTTTGGAAAAGTCCTTCTCCATTTGGGTCGATTCCGGCGACCGAGCCTCTTCCTTGCGCGTTCGGTCAAGCGCCGTTTCTGTCGCAGACGGATCTCGACCTTCACGCTGGTCCCGGGGCGAGCTGCTCGTGATATGAATGGCAATAATGATAGTAATAATGGTATCATTACTACTACTACTAATAATAATAATAAAATTAAAGATAATAATGATACTGATATTAACAAAAACAATAATAACAACAGTAAAAATAAAATCAATGATACTGATAATAATACTAATAATAATAATATCTTTCTATTATTATTATCAATATTCATAATAATAATAATAATGATAAAAAAATAATTATTCTTATTATTACTATCACTGCTATTGATAATAATAATAATAATAATAGCAATAATAACAGTAATAATAATAATAACAACAGCAATAATATTAACAATAATAATATTAATAATAACAACACAACAAAGACATTAACAACAGCAATAATAATAATAACAATAATAATAATAATAATAATAATAATAACACTACATACTAATAATAACAAACAATAATAATAATAGCAAACCACTCGACTCCCGAGAATAACAGTTCTTATTCCTGCAAAGAAGGAATGGCCTCTCACGTGACGTCATCAGTGAGGCGCCGCCCCCTCGGAGGCGCTGGAGGCCGCGGGCGCGCGTGGGCGTCTGTCGCTCCCTTTGCCTCTCCCGTTTGGGCGGATTCATCAGGCGACGAAGGCGAAATACGGCCGCGCCGTGGGTGCCAGAGCCGGCAAAATCGAGTCTCATTTCAGAAAACATTGGATTAGAGGAGAGGAAATGCAAGCTGTTGAAGGCCAAGCAAGGCCAACAACCGAAAACAATTTTAGCATCATATCACATATCTATATGCATATATATACATGTATGTGCATATATATATATATATATATATATATATATGTGTGTGTGTGTGTGTGTGTGTGTGTGTGTGTGTGTGTGTGTGTGTGTGTGTGTACACACACACATACACGCACACAAACACACATAGACACACACAGTAGGAGGCCGACCCGCTGCGCCTTCCGGGGGGGGGCGTGGCGGCGAGGTGGGGCGGGGCGGAGGGGCGCAGGGGGGGGCGCTCCGTCAGCAGCCCTCGCTCCCTCTCCAGGCGAGCGCGCGCCACCTGGCGGCCGCAGAGGATACAAGGGCCTCGGACGAGAGCTTGCGCATTTGGGAACAGAATTACAGCACGAGTCCCCTCGTGGACTCGCCCGGGTGGGCTGGGGGCGCCCCCCGGCGGTGGGCTGGTGGGCGCCGCGGGGTGGCTGGGGCGCCGCGCCGGGTGGGCTGGGCTGGGCTGGGGCCGCGCCGGGTGCTGGGGGCGCCGCGGGGTGGGTGGGCGCCGCGCCGGGTGGGCTGGGGGCGCCGCGCCGGGGTGGGCTGGGCGCCGCGCTGGGGGGCGCCGCGCCGGGTGGGGGGCGCCGCGCCGGGTGGCTGGGGCGCCGCGCCCGGGTGGGCTGGGGGCCGTGGGCGGGGCGTGCCGGGTGGGCTGGGGTGCCCGGCTGGGGGCGCCCCGCCCCGGGGTGGGCTGGGGCGCCGCGCCGGGTGCCCGCCGGGGTGGGCTGGGGGCCGTGCCCGGGTGGGCTGGGGGCGCCGTGCCCGGTGGGCTGGGGTGCCCCCGTGCCCGGGTGGGGGCGCCGTGCACGCTGCACGCGCAGGCCAGGCGCTGTTCGGAAACCTTCGCTCTTTTGGCAATGCCACCGCTGTCGCCAGGAAAGCAGCGCTTTTCAACAGGTTGCATTATATATATATATATATATATACACATATATATATATATAATATATATATATATATATATATATATATATAAGAGAGAGAGAGAGAGAGAGAGAGATATAGATAGACAGATAAGATACAGATATAGATATGTATATATATATATATGTATATATATGTATATATATATATAATATAATATACATATATGTATATATATATACATATATGTAATATATATATATATATAATATATATATATATATATATATATATATTTATATATATAATATATATATATATATATATATATATATATGTATGTATATATATATATATATATATATATATTTATATATATATACATATATGTATGTATATATATATATATATATATATATATATATATATATATAATATATAATATACATACATACATCATAATATATATATATATATAATATATATATATATATATATATATATATATATATATATATATATATATATAATATATATGCATATGTGTACCACACAAATATATACAGACGCACCATAAACTTGGCACCGCGCTCATTAGGATACCTTTCAGCCGACTCGCGCGCGGGCGGCGGCGGCGGCGGCGGGAAACCCCATCCGCCGAGCCCGAAGTTGAGCCTCGACTCGCGCGCCAAGTTCCAGCCCTCGGCGGAGGCGGCGCGACGAGAGCGGAACGAAACGCCGCCAAATTAAGAGAGAACTCAAGGGAGGGAAAGCCTAATGGCACGTGGCGAACGAGGGGAACGCGGGAGGAAGAGCAGAATTCAAAGGAAGAAAGGAGACGTAAAAAGGTCCGGCTTAATGGCATCCCAGGACCACCGGGACCCGCGCGCGCACTCGGCGGGATCGACGCAATCAGCGGGGAGACCGAGAGGAACAGACAGACTAATCAGGCAGGAGAAGCCAATCAGGGAGAGACAGGGCGGCGCGGGGAGACAAAAGGAAGGGATTAGGAGTAATGGAGGAAAGCAGGAGAGGCGGGCGGGGGAGGGGGGCGGTGAATATGAGCAGAGAAGGGTTAATGGAACACGAGCTGAGCCCGAAGAGGGCGAGAGCGAGGCTGCGCGAAGCAGGAAACAAAAGGGAAAGGGAGCAACAGGACTGCGGTTGCAAGGCGCGGGGCGACGTGTCGGCAACTGAGAGGTTCGTCGCAACTCGGGGCGGCAAAAGGGCTCTGCAAAGGCGCAATGCAAAAAGGCTTGAGGCACGAAATGAGCAAGTTGTCCGTCTGGCTAACGGAGTGCAAACCGGGCGCTCGGCTACCCTGGTCGGAGCTCAAGGGCCTGCTCGTCTTCTTCATCCCAGCCGCCTTCTGCTGCCTCAGCGCAGCCCTCGCCTTTTATCGGAGGACCCGCTTCTTCCTTTCACTCGCTCGGCTCTCCCGCCTTCGCTCCCCACCTTCCTGCTCTCTCCGCCCGCCCTTCGCTCCCACCTTCCTGCTCTCTCCGCCCGCCCTTCGCTCCCCACCTTCCTGCTCTCTCCCGCCCGCCCTTCGCTCCCCACCTTCCTGCTTCTCCGCCCGCCCTGCTCCCGCCGACCTGGTCCCAAGGCGCCGCTGCCCTTTCCCCTTTTCTCGCGGAGGACTTACGTCGCCTGACAGACAGCGCTGCCCTCTGAGCCGACACCCGCCGACCGCCTTCGGGAACTTGCTGTCACTAGTTCACGCCGCGGAGCTCTTGCTCAGGCTAAGTCGCAAAGCTTTCCGTTCCCCCTTCTCTCCCCTCTTTCTCTTTCCCTGCCTCTCCTCTCCTCCCGCCTCCCCCCCCCTCTCTCTCTCTCTCTCTTCTCTCTCTCTCTCTCTCTCTCTCTCTCTCTCTCTCTCTCTCTCTCTCTCTCTCTCTCTCTCTCTCTCTCTCCTCCTCTCTCTTCTCCTCTCTCTCTCCTCTCTCTCATTCTCATTCTCTCTCATTCTCATTCCTCATTCATTCTCTTCTCATTCTCATTCTCTCTCATTCTCATTCTCTCTCATTCTCTCTCATTCTCATTCTCTCATCTCATTCTCTCTCATTCTCATTCTCTCTCATTCTCATCTCTCTCATTCTCATTCTCTCTCATTCTCTTCTCTCTTCATTCTCATTCATTCTCTCTCATTCTCATTCTCTCTCATTCTCATTCTCTCTCATTCTCATTCTCTCTCATTCTCATTCTCTCTCATTCCCATTCTCTCTCATTCTCATTCTCCTCAGTTCGCATTTCTCTCATTCTCATTTTCTCTCATTCTCATTTTCTCTCATTTCATTCTCTTCATTTCTCATCTCTCTCATTCTCTCATTCTCTCTCATTCTCATTCTCTCTCTCATTCTCATTCTCTTGCATTCTTTCTCTCTCTCATTTCTCATTCTCATCTCATTCTCATCCTCTCTTCTCATTCTCTTTCATTCTCATTCTCTCTCATTCTTCATTCTCTCTCATTCTCATTCTCTCTCATTCTCTCATTCTCATTCTCTCTCATTCCATTCTCTCTCTCTTCTCTCTTCTCATTCTCTTCTCTCTTCCTCTCTCTCTTCTCTCTCTCTCTCTCATCCTCTCTTTCCTCTCCTCTCTCTCCTTCTTCCTCTTTCCTTCTCTCTCTCTCTTTCCTCTCTTCTCTCTTTCCTCTCTCTCTCTCTTTCCTCTCTCTCTCTCTCTTCCTCTCTCTCTCTCTTTCCCTCTCTCCTTCCCCTCTTTCCCTTTCCCTCCCCCCCTCTTTCTCTCTCACACTCTCTGTTTTTCTCTCTCACTCTCTCTTTTTCTTCCACACTCTCTTATTCTCTACCACAGACACGCCCTCTCTCTTTCTCTTCACACATACACTCTCTCTCTCTCACACACACTCTCATTCTCTCTCTTTTCTCTCTTCCCCCTCTCTCTCTCACTCTCTTTCTCTCTTTCCTCTCTCTCTTTCTCTCTCTCTCTCACTCTCTTTCTGTCCGTCTCTCTCTCTCCACTCTCTTTCTGTCCGTCTCTCTCTCTCACTCTCTTTCCATCCCTCCCTCTCCTCTCTCTCTCTGTCCCTCCTCTCACTCTCTCTCTCTCTCTCTCTCTGTCCCTACCTTCCTCTCTCTCTCTCTCGCTCTCTCTCTCTCTCTCTCTCTCTCTCTCTCTCTGTCCCTTCCCTCTCTCTCTCTCTCTCTCTGTGTCTCTTCCTCTCTCTCTCTCTCTCGTCCCTTCCCTCTCTCTCTCTCTCTTCTCTCTCTCTCTCTCTCTCTCTCTCTTCTCTCTCTCTCTCTCTCTCTCTCTCTCCTCTCTCTCTCTCCCTCACTCTCTTCTCTCTCTCTCTCCCTCACTCTCTCTCCTCACTCTCTCTCCCTTCACTCTCTCTCCCTCACTCTCTCTCCTCACTCTCTCCCCCTCACTCTCTCCCCTCACTCTCTTCACCTCACTCTCTCCACTCATCTCTCTCCACCTCACTCTCTCCACCTCACCTCTCCACCCTCCTCTCTCCACCCTCACTCTCTCTCCCTCTCTTTTCTCTCTCTTCTCCTCTCTCTCTTTTCCTCATCTTCTTTCTCTCTCCTTCTTTCTCTCTCTTTCTCTTTTCTTCTTCTCTCTCTTTCTCTCCTTCTCCTCTCCTTTCTTTCTCTCTCTTCCTCTCTTTCTCTCGTCCTCTCTTTCCTCTTCTCTCTCTTTCCTCTCTTTCTCTCTCTTCCTCTCTCTCTCTCTCCTCTCTCTCTCTCTTTCCTCTCTTTCTCCTCTTTCTCTCTTTTCCTCTCTTTCTCTCTCTCCTCTCTTTCTCTCTCTTTCCTGCTCTTTCTCTCTCTTTCCTCTCTTTCCCTCTTTCTCTCTTTCCTCTCTCTCTCTCTTTCCTCTCTTTCCGCTCTCTTTCTCTCTCTTTCTCTCTCTTCCCCTCTCTCTCTCTCTCTTCCCTTTCTCTCTTTTTCCTCTTTGTGGACCTCTCCAACCTCGCCTCGCGCATTCACCCTCGCGTAGGACAAGAAGTAATAGAAGTGGGTGGACGCTCCTACACAGATATTACATCCTCTTGCTCTCTCACCTCTCTTTCCATCCCTTCCCTTCCCTCTCTCTTCTCTCTCTGTCCCTTCCCTCCCCCCCCCTTCTCTCTCTCACTCTTCCATCCCTTCTCTCCCTTCTCTCTCCTCTGTCCCTCCCCCATCTCCTCTCTGTCTATCTATCTAGTCTATCTATCTATTCTCTCTCTCTCTCCCTGTCCCTCCCTTACTCTCTCTCTTCACTCTCTCCCTTCCCCCCTCTCTCGCTACCTCT